GTTGTCAGGGCGCAACGATTTGTTGATTCGCGGTGGTGCAGTCCCAGGAATGGCTTTCTGGCACGGTTCAGAATCGCCAAGACGTAACAATCAGTTTATCTAGTGGCGCTGAAGTCTTGAATGGCTTTTGGGCACGCTTCAAGATGTTCACACGGTTGCCCCCCTACATGGCAAGTCCCCCCGTAGAAATGACCCCCCATGAAGGCCTATGAAGAGGGACATTTGGAAGGAGGACGGATTTCAAGATCATTGATGGGTCTTGGGTTTACATTGGTCCTCCTCCTCGTTCTTCTCCTCTTTTTTTTCTCCTCCTCCTCCTCCCTCCTCGCTTCTCCTCCTCCTCCTCCTCCTCCTCCTCCTCCTCCTCCTCCTCCTCCTCCTCCTCCTCCTCCCCCTCCCGCCTCCTCCCCCTTCTCCGCCTCCTCATCCGCCATCCGCCACTACCCGCCCCATGTCCCGAGCCTGTGGCAGGGTCATCAGCTCGTCGCTGACGTTGTCGTCGTGGTCGTCGTCGTCGTCCTTCTGAGTCGGCGGCACTGGCCGTAAGGCCTTCACAAGAAGTACCTTAGCATGACGGGCTTGCACGAACAACAACTCGACCCATGATCAACCTGGCAGACTTAGCGAGAAGAGGCGGTGCGAAGAATGTGCGGAGAAGCTTGCGAACCCTCGCGGGCATAGCCTCCTCCTCCTCCTCCTCCGCCACCTCCACCTCCTCCTCCTCCTCCTCATCCACCTCCTCGTCCTCCTCCTCCTCCTCCTCCTCCTCCTGCACGCCCTGCTGTCCCCAATGCCCTGGCGAATGCCGAGTATGAGTGGGGCGAGATCGGCCCAGTGGCGGCCAGTGTCCCGCCCGCCTGCGGCACGGCGCAGTCGTCTGCATGTGTGTCTCCTCCTGCTGCTCCAGCTCCTCCTTTTCCTCCAACTCCCCCTCTCCTCCTCCCCCTCCTCCTCCCCCTCCTCCTGCTCCTCCTCCTCCTGCAACTCCTCTTCACTTATCCTCCTCCTCCTCTTCTTCCTCCTCCTCCTCCTTCCCCTCCTCCTCCTCCTCCTCCTCCTCCTCCTTCTCTTCACTCCTCATCCCCTCATCCCCCTCCCCCTCCTCCTCCCCCTCCCCCTCCTCATCCTCCTCCTCCTCTTCACTTATATCCTGCTCATTTCTCGTCCTCCTCCTCCTCCTCCTCCTCACTTCTCCTCCTCCTCCTCTTCTCATCCTTCTCATCTCCCTCCTTCCTCCCCCTCCCCATCCTCATCCTCCTCCTCTTCTCCTCCTCCTATCCTCCTCCTCCTGTGTGTTTCGTCGTCATTTTATTCGTCTTCTTGTTAGTATGATTCGCATGGTTCTTAGTATTAACATTCGTAGTCTTAGCACTAGTAACATTAGTGATATTACTTGTTCTTATTCGCATTCATATGATCATGCTTCTTCCTCCTCCTCATCTTCCTCATCCTCCTTCCTCACCTCTTCCTCCGACTCCTCCTCCCCCTCCTCCTCCTCCTCCTCCGCCTCCTCCCTCCCTCCTCCTCGCCTCCTCCTCCTCCCCCCCTCCTCCTCCTCCTCCTCCTCCCCTCCTCCTCCGCCACCTCCTCCTCCCTCTCCCCTTCCCCTCCCTCCTCCTCCTCCTCCTCTCCTCCTCCTCCTCCTCCTCCTCCCTCCTCCTTCCTCCTCCTCCTCCTCTTCCTCCTTCCTCCTCCTCCTCCTCCTCCTCCTCCTCCTCCTCCTCCTCCTCCGCCTTCTCCTCCTACGCCTCTTCCTCCTCCTCCCTCCGCCTCCTCCTCCCCCCTTCCCCCTTCCTCCTCATCCTCCTCCCCACATCTCCACTCCTCCTTCCCACTCCTCCTCCTCCTCCTCCTCCTCCTCCTCCTCCTCCTCCTCCTCCTCCTCCTCCTCCTCCTCCTCCCTCCTCCTCTTACTCCTCCTCCTACTCTTCCTCCTCCTCCTCATCATCATCATCCTCAATCTCCTCTACACGGCTCATCCTTCTCATCCTCCTCCTTCTCCTCCTACAGAGAGCTTGTAGGGAGGGTGTATCTCAACATCGTTGATGAGCCTTGGGTTTGCACTGGTCCTCCTCCTCCCTCGCCTACTCCGCCTTCCTTTCCTCCTCTTCACCCTCTTTGTCGTCGCCCTCCGCCGCATCCCATTTACATTCGAGGATGTTGCTCATCCTCCAGAGCGAGTGCCCTCCTCCTCCTCCTCCTCCTCCTTCTCCTCCTCCTCCTCCATCTCCTCCTGCTCCTTCTCCGTCCTCCCTCCTCCACCTCCATCCTCCCGTCAGAAGATTAGGTCGGGCGTGCCCCCCTACAGGGGGATTTGGGGTGAAAAGATCCAAAACCAACTTGAAAAACACGCGAAAACGGTCAAAACAAGTAGTACAAAAAATCGTCCCCAGACTATGTCGTACTATTTTGTACACTCGGCCTGTAGAGGGCCGTACCCGACTTAATCATAACATTGGGGGTCGGTGCCCTCCCCCCTGTATCGAGCAGGGACCGACCGTCCCGGCATTCCTATAGTCCTGCCACGAAATGTTCTTAGAACCCAAAGCTGTTCCAAGAACCAAAACAATGTCCTCAGCACATGCACCCGATGTGATAAAACAAGACAGGCTCCGCCAGAGATGTTCTAAGAACAGCTCGTGCAAACCGCAAAAGGTTCTTAGAGCATTGCTTGGTAGGGCTATAGTCGGCGGTGGACAAACCTCCCTTTAATAAACCTCCCCTTAGTGAAAACGGCCTGGGACCGAAACTGACGGACCTGGACCCGCAAAAATGACGGCCGCGACGCCCTCTCGCGAACCGAAAACGGCCAATTCCTTAATCGACGTGTCAGGATAGGAGGTCTGTCCAACCCCGATAGAGGCGAGCCAGGGCGCTTCGCCACTGCTCGACTGCAAAGCTCCCCCCCCCCGTCGTTGCCCCGCCTCCTCGCCTGCCTCCCTGCCCTCCGGAGGCGGCGGCGCCCCGCGGCCTCGGCCGCGCACCTGGACGGAGGCCTCCGAGCAAGGAGGGGCGAGAGAGGACCCTCCTCCTCCTCCCTTCTCCTCCTCCTTTCTTCTCCTCCTCCTCCTCCTTGCTCCTCCTCCTCCTCCTTCCTCCTCCTTTCTCCTCCTCCTTTCTCCTCCTCCTATCTCCTCCTCCTCCTCCTCCTATCTCCTCCTATCCTCCTCCTCCTCCTCCTCCTCCTCCTCCTCCTCTCCTCCTCCTCCTCCTCTCCCTTGTCCCTCCTCCCCCCCCCCCTCCTCCTCCTCCTATCTCCTCCTCCTCCTCCCCTCCTCCTCCTCCTCCTCCTCCTCCTCCTCCTCCTCCTCCTCCTCCTCCCCCTCCACCCAGATGGATGTCGGAGAGGATCGCGCCGCACCGCCGATGCGTCGGCGGCGTCGGCGGTGCAGCGGCGGCGTCGGCGCCTCCCCCTGCGCTCCCCGGCCCTCGGCACAGGCCTGGCGCTGCGCGAGAGGCAGCCGGCCCGTGTCACGAGGGTGCGCGACGAGGATTAGGGAGCGCACAAAGGACATACGCGCCCAGCTATGTACATGAACACGGCCCCTCGATTCGCGAGACCGGCCGCGTTATACGAACATTTGTGAAATGCGTGCTCTCGAAAACAGCGGGGATTCATGTACATGTACGTCCTTCTTTCGCTCCTGAAGGATGCAAGCAGGGAGCCGAACTCTGTACCGTCGGGGCGTTGACCGAAGGAACGAGAGGTAAGGAACGAGGCCCCTTTTGCCCACAGGCTGCACTTCGAGTTCCAGTGGAAAAAACCCCAGGAAGACCGGAGGCACACTGCAGAACACTCAAGGAACACCGAGCCCCTCCCCAACGAAAAGGGTTCCTTCTGCAGCGCCCCGACTGTACACCGACGCCTTTGTCTGGCCTCACACTGAGTGGCCAGGCACACCGGATGGCCGGGCAAAGAAAGGCCTCACACTGAGTGGCCAGGCACACCGGATGGCCGGGCAGAGAAAGGCGGAGCCTTCGGCAAGACTCCCCCCCCCCACCCCCACAGCCCCGAACCGCTCGGACGAGTGCGAAACCGTCAGGGAACCGAACTCTATACACCGACGCCTTTATCTGGCCTCACACTGACTCTCGCACGGGGAATCGGATCCTGGTGTATACGGGATCCTGGTGTATACATCATTTATTTTCCCCCCCGGGTAAGCGGGGACAGAAGGTATACACCACACCACCCCGACGTCGTCCCCGACCCTCAAAAAAGTCCTGGGATTGAAAACACGCCCGCCACTGGTAATGTATATGCTCCAGTTTCCGAGCAAGGGCCATGGACGCCCATTTCGAAGCTTTTCGAGCGGGGCGCTGCCAACGACAGTGGCGAAGGATGGACCGAGGAGGCAGGGATGCAAGGGGGTACGCGCCAATGTCGGCACAAACGACCCCGTTTTTTTGCGTCGCCAATCTTTTGAGCAAGGACTGACCGTCCCTGCATTCCTGTAGACCTACCACGAAATGCTCTTAGAGCTCTAAGACCAAACAAAAACAATGTCTTCGAACATAAGCCCGGTGAACTGAAACGAGATAGTCCCGGCCGCAAATGTTCTGAGAACACTTCCTTCAAACCAGAAAAGATTCTTAGAACATTCGGCGGTGGACAAACCTCCCTTTAATAAACCTCCCCTTAGTGAAAACGGCCTAGGACCGAAACCGTACCTGGACCCGCAAAAATGACGGCCGCGACGCCCTCTCGCGAACTGAAACCGGCAAATTCCTTAATCGACGTGGCAGGGTAGGGGGTCTATCAACCTCCGAAACTTTCTTTGGTGGGCCTAGAGTTAAGTCAGGCGTGTCCCCTACATAAGGATTTTCGACGAAAACTACAACATACTCAAACAATGCGCAAAAATGGCAAACAACTACTCAAAAAATAATACCCATACTATTTTTGGTTTTATTTGAATATTCCTCCTGTAGAGGGACGGGCCCGACTTAAGCCTAGAGCCCAACCAAGACGCCTCGCCTCTGCTTGAATCTTGGGAGGCCCAGGAGCACCTCCGCCGGCGCGCCCAGCGCCACCGCGCGGCCCCCGCGGAGGACGAGCACCCGCAGGGCGGCGCCGCCTGCCGCCGACCCCCGCTCGGAAAAAAAGCCGCGGCCTGCGGCCGCCTCGGCGGCCGCCTCGGCGGCCGTGTCGGCGGCCGCGTCGGCGGCCGCGTCGGCGGCGGCGGCGGCCGCGTCGGCGGGCGTGTCGGCGGCCGCTTCGGTGGCCGCTTCGGTGGCCGCTGGCGGCCCTCCGCGGGGTCGGTCGGCAGCCTCGGGCGGCGGCGGCGGCCTTCGGCGGCCGTCGGAGGCCATCGGCGGCGGTCGGCGGTCTTCGGCCAGCGGCGGCCTTCGGCCGGCGGCAGCCTTCGGCGGCCTGCGGTGGCGGCCGCCGGCCTTCGGCGGCCGTCGGAGGCCGTGGGAAGCCTCTGGCGGCCTCCGGACGCGTTCGGAGGCGGTCGGCAGCTTTTTCGCCGGCCCTCGGTGGCCTTCGGAGACCTCCGGAAGCCCTCGGCAGCCCTCCGCGGTCTTCGGCGGCTTTCGAAGACGGCCAGCGGCTTTCGGCGGCCGACGGAGACGATCGACAGCCTTCGGAGGCCCTCGGAGGCGTTCGACGACCTTCGGCGGCCTTCGGCGGACTTCGGCGGCCTTCGGAAGCGTTCGGTGGCCTTCGGCGGCTGGCGGCTTTTTGGCGGCCATCGACGACCTTTTCCAGTGCGCAACAGTCGGAAGCGGTCTGATCCCAGACCTCCGAAGGATTGACTTCTCCCAGCCATCCTGCGGTGTTGGGTCCTCGCTTGGAACAAACAGCGCCCCGCGTCGCTCCCGCTTCTCCTCGCCCTCCCACTGCCTCTGCCCTCCGCGTCACGCCTGTCGCACGTTTCGTGGCCCCGTCGGCAGGATCCGAAAGGGCGTAAGTACCCACACCAGTTCGTCACACCCCTCGCACGCTTCGTGGTACCACACCCTGGCTCCACCGAAGGCCCCTGTGGCAAGGTCTGCATGGCGCACCCGCCACCAATTCGGCATACCCCTCGCACGTGTCGGTGGCCCCATGGAGAGCTCCACCGAAAGCCCCAGCTGCAGGGGCCGCATGGCGCACCCGCCCTGACTCGACACAACCCTCATACGCCCCGCGGCTCCATACGGAGCTCTACCGCAGGTCCGCATGGCACCCCCGCCCCCAATCTGGCATACCTCTCACACGTTCCGCGGCCTCACATGGAGCCCCACCGAAGGCCCGTGGCAGGGTCCACATGGCGCACCCGCCCCACTGCGGCGCACGCTTCGTGGCCCAACAGGGAGCTCCTTCTAAGTCCCCAGTGGCAAGTCCGCATGGCGTACCCGACTCCATCTCGGCACGCCCCTCGCACGTGTCGTGGCTCCATGGGGAGCTCCGCCGAATGCCCCTGTGGCAGGGTCCGCATGGCGCACCCGCCTTGGATGCGGCACACCCCTCACACGTTTCATGGCCCCAAAGGGAGAGCTCGACCCAAGCCCAGTGACAGGGTCCGTATGGCGCATCCGCCCCCAATTCGGGACACCCTTCACACGTTTCGTCGCCTTGTAGGTCCTCCGCCATCCCCAGTGGCAAGTTCGCATGGCGGACACAACCCCAAGTCGGCACAACCCTCGCACGCGTCGCGGCCTCACGGGGAGCTCCACCAAACGACTTTCTTCGTCCTACCGACCTCTCGCGGTATTGCACGAACCCGATGGGTCAAAACGGGACGGACTCGGCCAAACCTATTCTAAGAGCCTCTCGCGCAGACCACGCCATGTTCTTAGAACGCTACTTGGTGGGCCCCTATGGGACGCACATGGACATACTAATACTATATGTCCTCCTTGGAGGCGCGCGTCCGACCCGAACATATAGTATACCCATCTTTTAGTAAATCCGCCGACCCCTTGGGGATCATCGGCGTGTGAGATGCTTTCCCCCTCCCCAAACCCCTCCCCCGGGAGCCTGGTCCGGTCGATTTGGAGGGGGGGGGGGGTCGACCACGAGCGCGTCATGGGGCTCTTTCGGTCCCAAGAGGGGCTACAGACCGCCCAGGAATGCCCCAAGAGGCCTCCAAGACCGCCCACGAGCGCCTCGAAACGCCAAACGAGCGCTCGGAGACGCCCAAGGTGTGCCCAAGACAGCCCAAGAGGCCTCCAAGACGTCCCAAGAGGTCCCCAAGAGGCCTCTTGGGAGCGGCCCAAGAAGCCAAAATCGTTGATTTTCCATTGGTTTTTGAAGGAAGGGGGCCTTCTCGCCCTTTCGGCTTTCCGACGCTCCAAGACGGCCCAAGAAGCTCCCAAAACCGCCCCAAGACGGCCCAATATTCCCCCAAGACGGCCCCAAGACGGCCAGAGAGGGCCCAAAGACGGCCCAAGAGCCGCCCCAGACGGCCCAAAAGGCTCCCAAGACGAGCCCAAGAGGGGGTGAAGAGGGGGTGAAGAGCGCAAAAGTGGACCCTGCCAAACCATCCCAAGGCAAATTTCGAACCCTCGGCCCCAAGAAGCCCCCAAAAGGATCCAAGAGGCCCCCAAGAAGCCACAAATAAGCCCCAACAACCCCCGAGAGGCCCACAATATACCCCAAGAGACCCCAGAACGGCCCCCAAGAGACTTCAAGAGTGCTCCGAGAAGGCCCCTGACAGACATACCAGGACACCTTCAAGAGGCTCCAAAGACGGCTGCAAGAGGGGGGACAATGTACATCAAGGGGTCGGCGGTGTGGCGTAAGCCCAAGAATCGTTTCCCGAGCGGTGTGGCCAGAAAGCGCCCGCCACGACGCATATACTATAAGATTTCTCGGTGCGCGCGTCGCCCCTGGGGGGGCGACGCACACATAGTATAAGTATGTTGGGGTGTTGCCGACCGTAGGCAAGCCGGTACGCTTCGCCTCTGCTCGAGCGACGCTGCCACGTCAACCAAAGACACACACAGTCGTCGGATGCCCGGAGACCCGTGCCGGCCAAAGGCGGCGTCTCTCGAACCCCGGGGGGCCGGCCACGCAGGCGCTGCCTGGAACCCGGGGGTCCGCGGCAGAGGACGGCCGGAAGGGGGGCCAGGCGCCGCGCGGGCGATCTCTCGGAGACCCGGAGCCCGGGCCGCGTCGACGATCTCTCGAGAGGGGCGTCGAAATTGATGGGTCCCCCAGGGGGGGGTGAGGACCACAGCTCCCCCAGGTGTGGCTGGCCCCCCACGAGGCCTCAGCGCTGGCCGCGGCGGCGTCCGTGCGCGGAGGTCGGCCGGCCAGGGAGGACGCGCTCCGCGGCGGGGAGGCCCCGACGGACCCATGGCACGCTCGCGTCGCGTCCTCGAGAGATCGTCGAAACTCTCGACCTCCCTGAGCCCCAAAAAGCGCTTCCCTCTGTCGAGGGCGGCGACAGGGGCGAACAGCCCAGGGGCGGGCATTAACCACGCGCATTCGCCCGGAGGCCTCGTCGAAGACATATAGAGCATCGGCGCCCCTGGATACATGCATGAAGGGGCCCTGGGACACACAAATAAATACACACAAATAACCGGATTCCATATATTTTCCCACATTTTCTGGGTTTTTGTCTTCCCCCCCACTTCCCATATTTTCCCATATCTTCTGAGGAATCGACGATTAGTGGTGTCTGTGTGTTTTGTTCCCCTCCTAAATGTAGTGCTCCCCCCCGGGCTATTCGCCCATACCATCGCCCCTGGTGCTTCACCTCCGCCGCCTTCCGCCGCCCTGCCGCCGCCCTTCCGCCGCCTTCCGCGGCGGAAGTGATGACGACTCCTTTTATCCTCGAAGGCAAAGCCTTTTTTGGAGCGCCCCACCATTGATCCCAAACCCGGGTCGGCCGGGGGGGGCGCAGCCTGCAGAGGGTGATGGCTGGCACCCTTGGGGGCTGAAGGCCTCTCGGATGTACCCCGTGCGCATGGCGGCAGCTTGACGCGGTGGGACCAGCAGGATGAGGAGGCTTCTGGCTGGTTGTCAGAGACCCGCGGGGGTGAGATGCAATCACCCAGAACTTGTTCACTCAAGGCGTGAGCCAACGTTGCAATTGAGGCGGGAGGGCAGCAGGAACAAAAAAAATCGACCAAACGAATGCCGCACATTGGATACTCGCTTCGTGGACCTTCCAGGAGCCACTCGCTCCGCGCACTCGCCGATGCTGCCTCGAACGTCCGCCGACTCGAGCCGAACTCCGGCGGAACTAGAATCGAAGTTGACTCGAGCCAGAATCGAACCAAAACCGAACCGATCCACTCCGTGGTTGGGCCCCTGGCAGTTCCCCAAAAGCGAGCACCCAGCGCACAGGTGTTGCCAGCCACAGCCGTGCCCATCGCGCCCCTCGCGGAGCAGAGCGCCCGCGGCACGGGCCCTGGGCGCAACAAATACAGCATCGGGCGATGGGGAACGCACGGCGACGAAGGAGCACGGGGGTGGCAAAATTGCGGCGCGCAGGACGAGGCCGCGCCTGCTTCTGCGCTCACCGGGATGACATCCAGCCACCACCTGGCTGGCAGCAAAAAGCAGCCCCTTTCAATGCGGATAGAAGTCCACCCTCGAATGGACATCCACACGCGACTGCCCCCGCTCCTCCTTGACCTCCTCCTCCTCCTCCGCCGACTCCTCCTCCTCCTCCTCCTCCTCCTCCCCCTCCTCCTCTTCCTCCTCCTCCTTCGAGGGTCGGGCCCTCGGCTGAGCTAAGAGTCCATGGCGCTGACCCACCCATCTGGGACTGATGCGCACCTTTCAACTGGACATATTTTGAATCGCGGGTCGAGAGCGCACCTCTTCCGGTCGAAGCTAAGCGGGCCGCGCGAAGCTTGAATTAACAGAGGGGGGGACAGAAGGAGCGCGGCCTCACGGCAAGGCCGGGAGGAGGCAAAGCCTCGGGATCAGGCGGTATCCTTTCAACTGGACCTGCAGACTCGGCAGTTCAGCCTCCAAATCATCTGGGGCCGCAGGCTCTCCGAGGCTCCCTGCCGCGTCCCGCCCACAGTCATCGGCGGCCCGAGCTGCAGGGCTGGCGCAGAACAGGGCATCGACCAACCGCTCGCCCGCGGCCTGCAACCCACTCCTTTTTCCGCGACCCTTGGCTGAGCTAGGAGCGCCTGCTACTGGCCCACCAATCTGGAAATAACCCACGCCATCGAACTGGAAATCCTCCCTTGGTGCCTCCGTCATCCCAGGCGCATCCGACACGAGAGCCCCAGGCAGCACGCTGCCAGGA